TCACTTTATATATGCTCTCCCCACCTAATTCTTAGTTTCGGCAATGGTAGTGTGACAGCTTTATTCTACATGCTCCCAAAGGAAACCAACCCATCTGTACATCCCGCTATAGTCTTAATTTCACCGTCACCATCTACTTTCAGATCTTGTCTTATGTCCAGGTTCCAAATTTTATCTTTTCATATTCATTTCTTAATACTGTGTAAAAACTATCTCTACTGCTTGAACTCCAGTGTCTCTGTTATTTATTATTTTAAATTTTTATCCATTTCACAAAGAGGAAACCAAAATTTCAACTTGGGATCACCTCCAGAACTGTGATATGAGAAATATTTTTGGATTTAAATTCAAATTCAAGTACAACAATGAAGCAATAATATCAACAGGACATAAGTTTTTTGTATTGTTGACTGATTACAAACTGATTACTGACCATAATGTTCACTAGATTTGACTGTGAATTCCCATATGACCTACTGGATGACACACACTTGGAAATTTCTGAGTTTGAAGATGACATGAACAATATTCAGGATTCAGCCTCCCTGTTTGAAGTAAATGTGCCAGATTTTAAACACCTCAAACAGTGTCGGAAAGAGCTTCGGATGTTGAAGGTAAAACAGTTGGCAATGGTTGTAATGTAAAACCGAATTTGCAGAAGATTGGTTTGTCAGTGACATTTATACAATTACATATGTTGTTTGTATTGATGTCTAATAGAAGGGGTGCCTGGAGGGAGAAAGGGATGTTTGTATGACAAATTCTACTCAGTAGTATCATAAAAAATAATATCTCTCTCCATTGCATGTACAGAATGAGAAGCCAGAATGCACAGCAATGGATCAAACACTGCTGCATGTAATGTCATTTGATTGATTAACCCACGATTTTCCATCCCACTGCATAAACCAAGCTACAATGAGCTGAGTTAAAATCACCATAATGGAGAGTAGATTCAAATAAATCTAATGCAGACAATAACTATATTACACAGTATACAGGGTTATTTTAATATTACACTTAAAAGTAAGGCAAAACATCTTATACTGTGAATATTGAATATCAGACTTTATATTTAGTGACAAAAATATTGGTAAGCAAAATAAAATTGATTCATATTTTGTGCAGCAACTGTGGGATTATGTACACATTGTGCAAACAAATATAGAAGACTGGAAGACAACACCCTGGAGAAAAATTGATGTAGAAAACATGGACATTGAGTGCAAGAAATTTGCAAAGGAAATAAGAGGTAACTAATAATAATTTTATTTAATTTAGTCTAGTCCTCATGTCTAACCACATTTTTAAAAATGACTTCTACCACTGATATCACACACATTATTGTTATGTAATTTGTCTCAGAAGTTCTGAGTTAACTTCATACTCACTTCCATCGGAACCTGGTATCTCGCCAAGGAAAAAGTAGATGCTCTTTCTGTGAACTACATTTTAGTATCAATTCTTAAGAACTGACCAATATCAAACACGTTTAGCTTACCTCATTAGCTTGTCAAGGCTTTGATGATTGTTTGTTTGCAGCTATGGACAAAGAGATGCGGGCATGGGACACATATATTACTCTGGAAGCCACAGTGAAAAACATGCTTACCTCTCTGCGAGCTGTCGGTGAACTACAGAATTCTGCCATTAGAGAGCGACATTGGCAGCAGCTGATGAAGTCCACTAAGGTACTGATCCAACTTGTTCTTCTGTTACTTTATTTCTACTACATACCTGTGAATTCTTTTCATTCCATTCTTTGTGCATTTTCAAAAATTGTGGGTATGTTCTTCTTCAAACTGTTCTGTTCTTTTTCACATTCTTGAAATTTAATCTTATTTCTTCCATTTCTTCTTGTAACATATATGCTCAGCACAGTGGCTTTGTACTGGGTGTCAAATTACATTACATACAGGTGGTGTTCTCTCATCAGGCATTTAACACAACTGAGGATGATGTATTATGCCACTTAAAAGGTTCTGATTTTAAGATACAGCATGGTTTCATCTTGTTAGTAAAATTTAATGGGGAATTATAATTGCAATTTTGATTTCTGAAGTAATTTGCTTTAATATATGAAATTCATCAACAGATGTAGTATATTTTGGCACATGTGTGTTGAAAAATATATCTATTTTTTATTTAAATATTACTACATCCCTGAATAGCAGTAGTTCAATAACTTGTCACAACGTAATGTCTGACTCAGTGCATTGTTTGAAAGTAAAATATGTGCAAAAGAGTGACAGTTAAACTAACTGAAAGTACTACTAGGAAGTTTAAAATAAGGTTTTTGTGCTAGAATTGTAAATCAAGGATAAGTGTAAAATCCAAAAGATAATGTGTTTTAGTTCGTTCTCATAAACATTCAAATTTATCAGGTTTTGTTTTTACAGGTTCTGAAATTAAGATTTCTTTTATAAGTAATCTTAAATACTGGCCAATAGACTGTGTGAAACATTACCTTCATCAGAAGGCATACTCAGAGAATTCCTCTCTGTATGTGACACTGCTTCCTTATCAAGACTTGTATGTGCTTGTATTCATAAACTGGTCTAAGTACTTCTCCTTAGTTGTCTGTAACCTGAAATTAACTATTGAATATGTTGCACGCTGCTGCAGAGCTTAGCTGCACTGCCACCAGAGCTCACTGTAAGTATCAAGGGCTATTAGTACTTATTCAAATAGATGAGTGTTCACATCACTTTAAATGAATTTGAACAGAGGAAAGTAAGCCTCAAAATCTTATTCATCTAGTTAAGTTTGTTAACATGACGATGGTTTATAAATCTGAAACAACAGTTTTCAAGCAGTTAATTGTACAAATTTTTATACTGGCTTTAATATTGCATACTATAAAAATATAATTCAATAACAAATACAGTGAGTGCAGTTTCAAACCATACATAGAACCTACACATATATAAACATTTATAAGGCATAAAGATATAAACATTTTTAATCAGAAATGTGTTTAAAGTGTCTGGCTCTATAATACCAGAAAGTAAAGAAATTTTTAAGTACTTATTAAATTTGCCTTTTTAGGTGAAGTTTGTTATGGATGAGTCCACGACACTGGAAGCATTGCTTGAGCTGAACCTGCATGAGTGTGAAGAAGAGGTGAAGAACATCGTAGACAAAGGTCTGTTGCCTCAAACTCAAGAATATAAACATAAAATATCACTGCCCAATACTTTGTATCAGTCTTATTTAATTTCTTTTAGCTTTCTTTCAGTTCTTAAGGGGGGAATAGAAGCTGTCTGCCTGTGACTCCCCCTACAAACATTTGAATTAATTGACTTATTTTTACAATTTTTTTATAAATGTTATGCTGTTGGATGCCACCCTAACCTTATTTTAATTTTCTACAATTAGTAATAATAACATGAAGGATGGGAGGTTAACATCAAGATTGATCTTAGAGAGATGGGATTTGATGATGGTGAATGGATGGAGTTGCCTCAGGATTGTCTGTTGGCAGTCTTTGGTGTTGGACTTTTGGGTTCTGCTTCCAAGGAGTTAGTTAGTTAGTTGGTTAGTTTACATGAAGTATGCGTGAACTTGTTACACTGGTGGGAGTGACAATAACATCACTTGATAGAGTGCCTGAAAGGATGTATGCAGTAGGTCTTCAAATAATATGCAGCTTTTGTTAATAACATGATGCCATTTGAAATTTAGATTTAGATTTTAGTCTCAAGGTGATAACTGTTTGACCATTTGACCTAGGATTATGATGTTTCTGTATGAGAATAAATTAAAGACATTTCTGCAAGTTATGTGTCAGACAGTGTTTATAAATCAACAGTTTCAAGGATGGTGACAGTGTGCAACTTTGAGGTTATATTCAAAAGAATTTAATGTAGATAGTTTCTGAACTTAGGTAATAGGCTCTATCCAAACAGAAATTAACAATGGTAATCTGTAATGTATTTCCAATTACAAAATAAAAGACAATTCTAAACCAAGTGGTTTCAGAGCCTGTGACTATCATGCTAACCCACTTCAGAGTTCATTGAGTTCTTTAGAATTACATGTTGCAACTTTGTTTTATAGCTGTAAAAGAGATGTCAATGGAGAAGTACTTACGAGATCTGCATACAACGTGGTCAAGCATGGAGTTTGAGCAGGAAATACATGCTCGGACTGGCTGCAGCCTTCTTCGTGCTAGTGAAGAACTTATTGAAACTCTGGAAGACAATCAGGTATAAGACATGTGGTGGTCAGCATTTATTGAGAGTGGCAACCAAGACTGTGAATGTACATGCAACATGGCATGTTTTTGTTTTGGCAAAAATTCATTACACAAATTGAAAAAGGGGATATTAATTTTCAAGAATTTGCTAGTTCACCTTAAATTATATGTGGGGTTGGAGTACTTCAGTGCTAAGGATTATTATTTGTCAATATTTATTTGTATTAAACACATGGACACACCAAATGTGTTTTTAATTCTTCCTTCTGATTTACATAACATTTTAGTTGAATTTTTAGGACTCCTGATTCATATTTGGGTAGGTCCTGGGTTTTAATCTTGGTTATCAGTCTGGCTATTCTGACTTAGATTTTTGTAACTTTCTGATTTCTTCCAGGAATACCTAAGATGTGTATCAAATCCTGTCTTCCACATCATTTCTAATTTATCAATCAAGTTTATTATTATTATTTGACACTGTATAAGCTTTGTGCCTGAAAGAGGGTAGATTTTTACCCAAGGATCATCATTTTTGATCTAATTAAAATAATTCTTTTTTGTTATAAGAAGTGTAACGTTTAACCCACATAGTCATTAATTATTGAGGAAGCTCAAAACTGTAATTAGGGCTGCAATGTTACAGGTACAGCTGCAGAACCTGATTACATCGAAGTTCATTGCACACTTCCTGGAGGAGGTTTCAGCATGGCAGACTAGGTTATGTCATGCTGATCAGGTGATTACCATGTTGTTTGAAGTTCAGCGCACATGGACTCACCTGGAATCTATATTTATGAGCTCTGAGGACATCAACACACAGTTGCCTGAGGATTCAGAACGTTTCAATAGAATTGATGCAGATTTTAAGGTCAGAACGAAGTTATGTAATATAACAATACTATTGCTATGTGTCCTGAAATTTGTTTGGAGGAGATGAAGAACCAGTGGGAAATATGACTATGAGAAAGTCTTTGAATATTTTGTCTCATCTTACTGTCCTAAATGGTAAATCAGAGGTAAAATCTGACAAGGATAACACCCACTTTCACAAGCCTATTTCAAGGAAAACAAGTAAAATGCCAAATTTAAATTTACTGTAGGCAGAAAATGTAGTATGTCGAACATATTTATATTTCCCATTATAAGGGACATTACTCCATGATGGACATGTTTGTTATGCATACTGAAAATGTTAATTTATGCAACATGTAATTAGGAAGTTTAGATATTGCATACTTCAATTTATAATTTATTTTTTTAACACAACTTCCTTATGATTTACAAAACATTTTAGTTGAATTTTCAGGACTCTTTATCCATAATTAATGTAACGCAGCTGAAAGAGATAAAAATTGTATTATAATTTTAAACATTTGACATGGCTCATCTCTAAAAGCCAATGTTATACATTGAACTCTAGCTTCAAAAGCCAAAGGACAAGAATTGTTACTGAGGTATTGTTTTACTGTGAGTGTGTAATCACTTATATTTTGGGCAGACAATGATGGATGAAATGAAGTTGACTCCAAATGTAGTGGAGGTAACAAATAGAGAAGGGCTGAGTCAGAAGCTTGAAAAACTCCAGAAGGAGTTAACATTGTGTGAGAAGGCACTAGCTCAGTATTTGGAAACCAAACGTCTTGCATTCCCTCGTTTCTACTTCGTGTCATCTGCTGACCTACTTGATATATTGTCCAATGGAAATCAGCCGAAGACTGTTGCAAGGTGAATGCATATTTCATGTAACAAATCAAGTTCAACTTATGTATTGATATCCAAGTCACTTGCAATCAAAAGTTCAAATGTTGTTTCTGGAAACATAAATGTAATATTTTATTTTATTATTTGTTTTTTTTTATTGGGATTACATAATTTCAGTGTTAGCTGACTCATATTTCCTTTTAGACTTGTGTATAAATTAAAATCAGATGTTCTTTCCAAAGATTGTGGTACATCCAGCTTTTCAGTAGAATTAAATAGTCACTATTAATTTAGGAATGTCAGTATGAAAACCTAGAATCCTACATCAAAGACTGAGTGTGTCTACTGTACCATTTAATATGTGAAACAGCTCTGTGTATAACATTAAGTGTACTGTATATTCTTCAGTTATGAAATTTAAAGTATAATAACACATGATTGGATTTCAGACACCTCACCAAGTTGTTTGATTCCATGGCACATCTGAAGTTTGACATGGAATCAGATGGCAAATTGGAGAAGAAAGCACAAGGCATGATTGCAAAGGATGGTGAATATGTGGAATTCAACTATGAGAGTGACTGCAGTGGACCAGTATGTATCCTCTGTGAATGATAAAGAGTTTAAATTAAAAGCTTTTGTAATTTCTGGGTGCTCTAGTAGCAGTGTAATTTCAACCTGATTAGATTTTTGTAAAAGTAAGTGGTTGTGTTGGTTATATTGTTTTGATAACTGTTTTTTTGTAAAATAATGAAACTTGAAAGAATAACAAAATTTTGTCATTTTCCTTAGTCTATAGGACATCAGAAAATTTAGTATTTGTATCTCCCAGGTTGAGGTGTGGTTAAATCGTTTACAAGATTCCATGCGGACTTCCCTCCGCCATTATTTTGCTGAGGCTGTAATGAGCTATGAGGAGAAACCTCGTGAACAGTGGTTGTTTGATTATCCAGCACAGGTGTCTCTATGCGGCACACAGATCTGGTGGACTACTGAAGTCAACATAGCCTTTTCACGTCTTGAGGAAGGCTATGAAAATGCCATAAAGGACTACCAGAAGAAACAGGTGATTTATTCTGTATGATGTAATCAAGAGACTGTATCTTCAAAATTTGTACTTGTTTGTACTGGTCAGTCAGATTAAGTAGTGTAAATTTGCCATATTATAGTATGTTTCATTGATCTGTCTTCCTTCGTAAAGTAATTTTTTGTGATATTTCATGTGGTCAAAGTATGCAGACATTAAGTATTCAGTGAAGAGCAGGTTGTGATTGTTGAGCCCATTCCAAAAATATCCATTGCCTTCTAACCTTGCTCAACTATCCAACAACTACAACATAGAATCAGTTTAGTCTTGAATGTAACAATGTACCATTAACATCATTTTTTATGGCAGTTCTGGCAGAAAATTTTCAACTTAATGATAAAGAATTTGCAGGTTAAGATTTTACATCTATGCTACTTCCAGAGTCTTCTACATGTATTCTGTATTTTCTTATAATGGAAACTTATTGAGATCCATGCTTGAGAATGTGATGGTGAAGATGTATGTGTTAAGATGCTGACAACCATCACAAATATTACTGACACTTTTTTCTAACCCAGAAAGCACTGGTATGGTATTCTTTAACTTTATCAACACAGTAACTCATCTATCAGAAATATGCTTCAGAATTCTCAAATGATGAAATATAGATTGTTTCAAGACTTTACCATCAAACAATCAACTGCTGCTGCTTCTGGGGATCAGAATACAAAAAGAAGAGGGGTTGCTGGTATGACTAAAAATTAACAGTTGCCCTCTGTTAACAAATTCAGTTAATAAGCAGATACTACTTATGGGACTCATTATCGTCTTTCTCAGTATAAAGAATGGGTTGAAAAATCATCTGTTTAACTTTCAAAGTAGTCTTACTTGTCAAGAAATCATCAGTTGCTTCTAGGGTTAAACTGTAGTGTCTTAACAATGAGATGTTTACTGTTTATAAAGTGAGGTGACATATGTGATGTAATTATGTCTACAGATATCACAATTAAGTACTCTAATCACATTACTGATTGGTGAACTGAGTAAACAGGACAGACAGAAGATAATGACCATCTGTACCATAGATGTACATTCTCGTGATGTGGTGTACAAGTTTGTACAAAACAAAATAGAAAGTGCTTCAGCATTTCAATGGCAGTCTCAACTAAGGCACAGGTAACATTTATTTCAAATACCACAATTTTAAATGAATAACATTTCCCTTCAATGAGATTGTAGGTTACTTTTTAATGTACTGTACCAAACTTATTAATTTATAAATTATTTAATATTCTGCCATTAGATCTTAATAATCTTTGGGCCAAACAGGCCATTTATTGGCCTCATTTTGTGATCAGAAGGTGTATAGAATAAGAAATATCTTTGATCTGTGTTTGGGGTCAGTTTAATAGAATCAAGTAATTTTTTTAGTAAAGGACATTTATAACTTTGTCATATTCAACTTCTGTGAAACCCTGCCATTCATGTAATGGAACAGTGAAATGTGTGCTGTTTACAGAAATTAAAAAGATGCCAAACTCACATATTTGGTCATGTTACAGAAAGAATCACAATTATGATGTAGTTTGTGGTTACATATCACAGAGAAACAAAATAAGAGGACTAACCTTCATAAGATACTGAGAACTTGTGGATACTGTTTTTGTTTGCTTGCCTCATGTGGAAATGGAATGGGTTGTCCATCATTGTCCTCGATGCAAGGGGCAGTATGTTCCTCTGAAACATCAGGAAAACAATCTAATTCTGCATGGTGCAATCATATTTGAACTATAAATATTCTGTTGTGTATATAAATGTTTATCTATATGCAGGTGGGACGAGAAAGAATCAGACTGTTTTGCAAATATTTGTGATGCCCAGTTCCGCTATAGCTATGAATATCTGGGTAACACACCACGCCTTGTCATCACCCCTCTTACTGACAGATGTTATATCACACTTACACAGGTCTGAAGTGCAGCACTGTATTGCCTTTCACATTGTAGTACTTACATTTCATTGGCACATTGAGGAAAAAATTATATCTGTGAATAAGAGTAGAAAGTTCAGGTCTGGTTTGAAGCATATGCTTGTGTTGAACTGAATGTTAATATTATGTTACTGTAGTACTGTGTTCTTCTTGTATTATCTTTTATGTTTGATAATATCAGCAAAAACAAATTCTCCTGGCACCTTTCGAAAGTTCAAGCTAACTATGTGTGGATTTTTGGCAGTGGAAATTATAAATCACCATGGAATTATGTAAACAAAAGAAGGCTTAATATAGATTATTTTGTGTTATCTTGAGTGTATGATGAGATGGCCCATTTTCAACCTGCACTGACAAGAGCAGATGATGTATAATATCAATTGAGCCCATTTCAGTATCACAACAAGTTGCAAGTGACTCGCATATTTAACTTGCACAGTGAAATTTGTAGGTGAGGTACTTTCATTGTGGTCAGGAAGTGTCAGTGTGTACAAAAAGTTGTATAGTTTTTTCTATGATTACTTTTGTGGGCCTTTGTTTTGCTTTCTTGTTTAATAATAAGCCATTAATTAGAACTTAGAAATATGTTTTTATGTATTTTAAAATTATTTGAATGGTGTTTATGTACTTGCAGTCTCTACACCTGGTGATGGGTGGGGCTCCTGCAGGTCCTGCTGGTACAGGAAAGACAGAGACCACCAAAGATTTGGGACGTGCTCTTGGTATCACAGTTTATGTTTTTAACTGCTCTGAGCAGATGGATTACAAGGTGATGTGTATCTGTAACTACAAAGGACCACATTTCATACCCATACAAAACAGATGACAAAGTTGTTTTGTATATAGGATTTGACTTTTGTATTTCTGATCTTTGGTGCTTTGAAAAGTAAATATGTTGATAACTGGTTATAACAGGCATTTTAATAACTTATTATTTTCTTAATTTCATCTCACTCTCTCTTTTAGTGGCTGCATGTATGTATGTTGAAGGACCTTGGCCTTCTAACATATGAGAGGTTCCTTAATCTTCGGATGAGTGATCAGTCCCTTGCAAGGCATGCAAAATTTTCTAAAATTAAAAATTTCCAATGATAAAAAATTTGAAATACCTTCAAGAAGGAAGAAAATCTAAAATTGTCATTCCTCTGCTTTTGCATGCAACTGATGATGATGCCAAAGTTTATATGTGCTCTGTTACAGTCATGTGGCAACATTTATAAGGGACTGGCCCAAACTGGTGCCTGGGGATGTTTCGATGAGTTCAACCGGATTACAGTGGAGGTTCTGTCAGTAGTGGCTGTTCAAGTAAAATCTGTCCAGGTGAGATGGATTGTTTGCATCTTACACCAATGCACTAAGGTCATTTGTGTATGACTTTGAGATAGTGAATACAGTTTTAATTTGATGAATAGAACCTGACATACTTTTTCAAGCAGCATTACGTACTTGAGAAAGAGCATGTTACAACGTTTTGAGGCTCTTCCATTTCTGGATCAATCACTGTGAGCAACGTCTCCATTTCTTGATATGATACACGTTATTTATGCTAAAGGAACACAATAGTTGATACAGGAACATTTAAAACCTATTAATTTTAAAGCCATTATTGAGATATATGCAGTGTTTGCTATCAATAAAAATATGTGTTGTGAAACTTTACAATATATTGAATCATACACTGTGTGTTTTTTCATTAAACTTGATGCATGTTTTAGGATGCTATACGAGATAAAAGTACCACTTTCAATTTCATGGGAGAAATGATTGGATTAGTTCCAACAGTAGGTATTTTCATTACAATGAATCCTGGCTATGCTGGTCGTACAGAATTGCCAGAAAATCTGAAGGCTCTGTTCAGGTAAATAAATATTCTGTTTTACAATTCTAGCTCAGCCTTCTATATAACATGAATGTAAAAGTGTACTTCATTGGGCAGCACATACTTTTCTAGTGCATTCTTTGCTATTTCCTGTACCTCACTGATACCAGGATTTATTTATTTCAAATAGAAATTTCTTGTTGCAAAGCTAATCACATTATAAACAGGACAGATAACCATACATTTTCCTATACTTCATTAAATACTCGTGCATCAAAAAGTACTTTAAATAACATTTGTAGCTCTTAATGAGAATATGTATTTATATGATGATCTGTTTTGGAGATGCCCATAAAGTGTGGGTTAAACTGAACCAATTTGAATCAAAATAAAATTTATCTTCAACCTTTAGTTTAGATCCTAGATACAAAGTTTCATCAGCATCCATTCACTAATATCTGTCCTGCAGCATACAGACAGGCATGACTTTTCCATTATATATTAATTTATGCATGCTGTGCAAAGAATGTATGCAAATGTCATACTACTATATGAAGGATGTTGTAGACAGCGTTTTCTTTATTCCAATGCTATATAGCAGTACTTTAAATTATTTTTCACCATGTTAACAGACACTTTGATGGTTATGTTGCAGGCCATGTGCAATGTGTGTACCAGATTTTGAACTCATCTGTGAAATTATGTTGGTAGCAGAAGGATTTCAAGAAGCTCGTGTTCTGGCAAGAAAATTTATCACATTGTATACTTTATGCAAGGAATTACTTTCTAAGCAAGATCATTATGACTGGGGCTTGCGAGCAATCAAATCAGTATTAGTAGTAGCAGGCTCTCTCAAGGTGATTGTGAAGTTAATTCCACTACAGATATTAAACTGCACTAAGCCAGGGATTCTTTTTTTTCCCCTTGAAGACATTGATACCAATTGAACTGCAGTGTTTATTTCCTTTTTCTCATCCATTGGCATTGCAAAATTAAATATAGGACATTTTATATTTATCAGTATCCATCCTTACATGACACTTTTGCAGCACATAGGAACCATTAATTCACATTAATAATTAAGTAAGGGCAACAAACAAATGAATAAAGGAGAATCAGAAAAGATAGATTTTTCATTTTGTAAGAAGAGGAGGTGCTGTTCCTGATTGTAATCAAGATCACAGGTTTCCATTCATGTTTCTATTAAGTCACAGAAAGCTGTAAAGAACATGAAGATACATTCATGTCATGTTGCATGTGACAGTATGCAGACAGTTGATGTTTGCCATTTTCATGTTCAGTTTTATTGAAAAGCTGTCATATGTGAAAATATAATACATGTCTGCTGTGATGATGTGACAATTTATTATTGCAGCGAGGCGATCCTGGACGTCCGGAAGAAGAAGTGTTGATGCGTGCTCTCAGAGACTTCAACATTCCAAAGGTGGTAACAGATGATTTCCCAGTGTTCATGGGTCTTATTGGCGACCTTTTCCCTGCATTAGATGTACCAAGAAAGCGAGACCAAGAATTTGAGCGAACAGTGAAACAAGCAGCTGTTGATTTATTGCTACAACCAGAAGACAATTTTATACTGAAGGTGCATTACTTATGAATGAAAATGTCACATCAGTTTTTCTTTCTCATTTTTAACTTTAAAAATATTCCATATTTCAAATGACTTCCTTCAGCTTCACAAATATGATTATTATTCTCACATTCTCATTCAATCTGTTCCACCATTTTGACTGGTGGCTGACTCAAGACAATACAACTATTACAATTAACATTGTGTTATTCCATCTGGTATGGCTGAAATATGACTACTAAAATTTAGGTTATGTTAGCTTTAGTTTTGGTGTATTTAAGTTTGATTAAGTTTGTTGACTAATTGATGTGCAGAAGATTTAGAAGGAGCTGTTTTGTATTTATTTCTTCCACAATTGTCACAAGTTTTTTGCGATTTCCTTTCTCATTTAATTTTTTATTCTTTTTATGTTTGCCTAGCTACTTCTTTATTGCAAATATCCACAAAATTTGACAAACCTCACCAAGTGTCACCATGTGGCACATTTCTCCCCTTATAAATTTAACTTTGTTGTTGTTATAAGGCCTCATTGATTTATGCTTCAGAGGTATGCAATTTTGACTGCTTCAGGTGGTGCAGCTGGAAGAACTCCTGGAAGTACGACACTCTGTATTTGTTGTGGGGAATGCTGGGACTGGCAAGACACAAGTCTGGAAGACTTTGTTTCGCACCTATCAGAATATGAAGCGCAAACCAGTCTTTAATGACCTGAATCCAAAAGCTGTAACCAATGATGAACTCTTTGGGATCATCAATCCAAATACTCGAGAATGGAAGGATGGTGATTTTATTTTATGTATAAAATTATTAAAAGTTTACTCTTTGAGGTTGATTTGTTTCATATAATGTCAGTGCTGAGAAAAGCCTGTATTGAAGGGAGAATAAATTTGTATGTAACTTGAAGTGATGTGTTTGTTAGATATTAATGTATGTTATTTCAATAACAGAATATAACGTAAATTGTTTATGATGAGGCTTGTTACCCGAGAGTCTTTCATCAGCTTCAGTCACCATGAAAGCTTCACTTTATACAAATTAAATTGTTATTTACACTGTATTTTTGAATAGTCATTGTAGTTGTAATTTTCTCCATTAGATGTTCTAAAGCTAATACTTTGTGTTATGTTGTAGGTCTGTTCTCTGTGATAATGAGAGACCAAGCAAATTTAGGAGGTGATAATCCAAAATGGATTATCCTTGATGGTGATATTGACCCCATGTGGATTGAATCTTTGAACACAGTTATGGATGATAATAAGGTAAGAATGTTAATAACTCTCCGAAGATGGTAATTTATTCTTAGAGTTAACGTATTAGTGAAGGATTTTACAGGGAGCAAGCTGGATCTAAATGGGATATTTATTTCTGTTGTAGATGAGGGAAGAAGGTACATCCTATAAGTTATGCAGGGAATTTGTAAGGTTTGAATCTTTGGCTATTGATAAAATTAATGTTTTAACTCTAAGTATATATCCTTCTTAAATATATTTTGGTATTCTAATTATACATGTTATTGTTTCTTAGATAGAAATAAAGAATAACTTAGGATTTGAGGTTTTCTCGGTGGTGAGTTGGAAGATGGCTGTCTTCTGGGTTGTTGTGCCATGTAGTCTGGTGATTATCACCCTGATGATGGAGGCAGCAAGGACCCCTGAAATGTCGGTAAACTTCTGCCAGACTACACAGCACAACAACCTAGGAGATAGCCATCTTCATAAAGAGCAACATTTGTCAAAATTCTTTAAAGATTTACACTTATTTTTTCTTACCCCATGTCTTTTTCTCTGTGGTTCTTTGAATTTTTACATCCTCAGATACTGACACTTGCGAGCAATGAGAGGATAGCACTTACTCCAGTTATGAGACTGCTGTTTGAAATCTCAAACCTGCGTACAGCTACACCAGCAACTGTGTCTCGGGCTGGAATTCTGTATTTAAACCCACAGGACCTTGGATGGAACCCGTAAGAAAACTCATTTAAAACGTGGTATAGTGAGACAAATATTAACCTTCATATCTGAGACGTTTATTTAAACTGGAGACATCACAAATGAAGAAATAAAATAAAATAAAATAAAATCTTTTGTTATGTTAAGCTGAAACTGTGTGAGGGGAAAATTTTCTGTGAAGAAGTCTTCTTAAATGTGCTTACATTTTTTGTTTTTTTGTTTTTTTGCAATTAAAAAAGTTAGGCTTATGTAACAGCAGACAAAAATGTTAACATTTTCCAGAGTAGTAATTAATGTTCTGATTCATTTAACACTCATGTTAACATTTCAGGTATGTGACAAGCTGGCTTGAAACACGAGTAAATTCTACAGAGAAGTCTAACCTTGTCATGCTTTTTGATAAATACATCCCTTTGTGCCTTGAAAATATAAGAGTTCGTTTTAAGAAAATCACCCCTATCACTGAGATGGCACATATACAAATGTTGTGTCACTTACTTCAATGCCTTCTTACACCAACAAATACTCCTCCAGGTAAGAGGACTGTCTAATCTGTCAAGAAGTACTAAATAATTTGCTGCTGAATACCTCACAAGTAGAAGGTCCCGAAGGTTTAGTACCATTGATACAGACATTTTATATGATCCTGAACCAGTTTTGCCCACACATTGCATCTACCAAAGTTTCATGTTAATAATTATTTCATCTCCTCATGGATTTTCGGATGACTGATTTAGGATATTTTTTACCAAAAATTTTGGAGGAATTTTTTCTCTCCAAGTCCATAAATTATATTCAATTCTTTATCATTGAATGTTGCACTTTGGTTATGTTAAACATTGCCTGCCATCTGAGGTATATTTCAAATATGGAGTGTTTTGGGAGTTGGCTAAAGGCCTACTCCCATCATTAAATGTTTGGTTGTCGTTAATCTGACAGGAATTTTTACTGTTTCTATTTCTGAGATTTATAGTAAGGTTTGAGAGAAGCCCAGAATCTTTGTTTGAATACTAAACATGTATGTTATTTATTAGCTTACTATAATCTTACATACTGAAAACTATAATTTAGAAGGTTTCTAGATTTGTTCTTAACTATCGCTACTAATCATGAATACAATAACAAAAAATATCTGTCAGTACAATAACAACCAGTTACCTGAAGATTAAGCAGAGCCAACTCCTGAAATTCTTTGTATATCCAATAAAACTCAGACAGTAGACACCAATGTGACTGTGATGTACTGAAATAACCACTGTCATAAACCTTTAGATAATCACCATTTAATGTACCAGCACTTTTTATTTCTTAATTTCTATGATGGTTTTATCTTGATCATGCTTGGCAAATATAAAATGAAATTTTGCTGCATTAAAACATTGCATTTCTATTTCAGATTGTCCAAAAGAGTGGTATGAAATTTACTTTGTTTTTGCCTGTGTATGGGCATTTGGAGCAGCTATGTTTCAAGACCAGGTACAGAATCTTTTATATCAGAAAAAGAATTTCATTTGGGTTATATGAATGTAATTTAAGCAGTTAAGATAATTTATGGTGGTGAATGGCATGGTTCTAAAGAACAGGAATGGATAAATAGCTTTATCATTCTCATGAAGTAACCAATGCTATATAATATGGTACTTTCACTTGAAAAGGAAGGCACATTTTCATACAGTCAGCTACATTGTCTCTCTCTATTTTTTATGTAGGCCATTGACTATCGTGTGGAGTTCACCAAGTGGTGGGTTAATGAATTTAAAACCATCAAGTTTCCAACCCAAGGCACTGTATTTGACTACTATATTGATACAGAAACTAAACAGTTCTTACTCTGGACTGAGCGGCTTCCTATCTTCACACTTGATCCAGATATACCATTGCAGGTATTCTTTTCCAAATTTTACATTCCACTACTTTGCTATGATGTATATGATGTATATGATGATGATGATGAGAATTATGACTGCTGTGACTTGAGTAATATTAAGAAAATATGGTATCAACCTGTTTTAAGAGTCCTTTTAAAGAATCCATAACTAGTTTAAGATCATCCCCTTTTTTATTTTAAGCCAAGTGATTTATGTAGTTGTTAAGAGTTTCATTAAGTAACTTGTTAGTGAATTATCAAATCTTAATTGGGAACATTTTTAAAGCAAAACACATTGAATTTAGTTTTCCTTCAGTTTTATCTTTCAAAACTGACATGCATTTTACATTTGGGCTGCACTGAATATGGGCAAATAGATACTTGGTCAGTATTCACATGAAGGTAACATGTTCTTTGCATGTGTTTAGGCTGCATTAGTTCATACTTCAGAATCCATCAGAATGCGTTTCTTTCTGGACTTGCTGATGGAGCAGCGACATCCGGTGATGCTGGTGGGTAGTGCTGGTGTTGGGAAGACAGTACTGATCTGTGACAAACTATCATCATTGTCTGAAAATTATGCAGTTGCCAATTTGCCTTTCAACTTCTACACTACATCAGGTGAAATTATGGATAATATAGATAGTGTACTTTTATACACTACGTGAAAAAATTCAGAGTACATATTTAGATTTATTTAAATTAGTGTCACATTTTTAAATCAGTTCCAACATTTCAGAAATGCTACAAAAAATTTTGGAGAAGCCATTAGAGAAGAAAGCAGGCAGAAATTATGGTCCACCTGGGAACAAGAATCTTGTTTACTTTATTGATGACATGAATATGCCTAAGGTATGTTTACTAAACTGAAGTAAACTGAAGTGGGGAAAAAGTAATTTTGAATTATTCTTTTCCAGAATCGTGAAGTGGTCGCATGTAAAAGATTAAATCATTTTACAGTTTTGCACATAGTGCATTCAACTCATATTCAGGAAGTTCTTTAATGTGCAGTATATACATCACGTGGGAGCATATTGTCACATGGCATATAAGTTTTATCTAAGACCACAGTTTTCTAAAACATTTTACAAATGTTTTACAGGTAGACTTTTATGGAACTGTGCAGCCTCACACGCTGATCCGTCAGCACCTTGACTACAGTCATTGGTATGATCGTAATAAACTGACACTCAAAGACATTCATAAATGTCAGTATGTGGCCTGTATGAATCCTACAGCTGGCAGCTTCACAATCAATCCGCGACTCCAGCGCCACTTCTGTGTGTTTGCTATTAGGTAGGAACCTGTGAGCTACTGAGCAGTATGTATGGCAGGGGTGGCCAACCCAAATGATCTTTCGGGCCACTTTGGAAATGTATCATAACTCCGCGGGCCACATATAAAATTATATGGATGCACAAATAATGTATTTTTTTAATACATTGGTTTTCACTACTTTGGCCATTATAAAATAAATATATTTTGTAAAAGTGTGATGAATTTCGCGGGCCACATGCGGCCCGCGGGCCGCGGGTTGGGCACCCCTGATGTATGGTATCAGGCTTCACCAATTTCAATTTATATGTCATAATAGTAGTGGAGCTTCAAAAGTGTACTAAAATTTTTGATGACCACTCTCACATCCCCTAGTAAGTTACTACTGCCATTGAAGAAGAAGCAAATATGATTTTCTCTGAGGCATTTAAGCGTTCAAAACCATATTTTTACAATAAATATATTGTACTTGAAATGGTATGAATATTTATCATGTATTTTGGATTTCATCAATACACTCCAAGAACTAAACATTTTCCATGTTCCCTTTTATAGCTTATTAGTAAGTAAAGTAATTCCAGAAACACTTGTATGTTGCTGACAGCTTCCCTGGAGCAGAGGCAGTGAACACCATTTATCACTCCATCTTGTCACAGCACATGTCCAACCCAGAGTACAAGTTTCCCATGTCAGTAGTGAAGCTGACACCCAATGTTGTTTCAGCATCACTTGCTCTGCATCACAAAGTGTCACAGGTGTTTCTTCCCACTGCCATCAAGTTCCATTATATCTTCAATCTCAGGGACTTCTCCAGTGTTTTCCAGGTACTATGTTTTGAGCATTACCAAAACTTTGTGTACTGACAGTCAAGAAATATCACATCATTATTAACTGAATATCAAGTCACAACATTTGTTATTAGATGAAGTCATTAATTACATATGTGAAATATGCACCCATTTGGTCTAATTCAGGATTATACCATAACAGACGGATTACAAGACCTCCTGTGCGATGACTTTTAATGTGGAAATCATATTTATTTTTCTGTGTAGGGATTGCTGTTTAGTACCAGTGATTGCCTGCCTCAGCACACTGACTTGGTGAGACTTTGGATGCATGAATCACAGCGTGTTTATGGTGACAAACTTGTAGATGAGAAAGACATTGAAACCTATAGTAAAATACAAATTGATATAGTCAAAAAGAATTTTGAGGTTAGTATATCACAAAAAAAAACATAATTTAATTAAATACCTCCTGCTGCACTGAACATAATAAAGTAATATAAAAGGGGTGTATAAATTAAATGGTCTGGCAGCATCAAGACATGTTGAATGTAAACTGCATTGAAAATTATTAAGGGTTAGTAGGAATGAGTAAATTTCTTCATAAGTTCTAGGTGTCATATAAAAATTTATGACATGTACAAATGTGTTTGAAGTATACATTTACAAAAATAGAATACCTTTCTTAAGGATTACTGTTATCTTGTGGCATGTTCGTGTTTGTTAGTCATAGTGCAGTACGTAATTATATTTCAGGAGGTTGATGAGTCGCTACTGGCAGAGAAACCTAATATTTACTGCCATTTTGCTCAAGGCATTGGTGAGCCTAAATACATGAAAGTGGAGAGTTGGAAGTCTTTAGCTGTTCTCCTCCAAGATGCACTCATTAGTTACAATGATCTTGTAGCTGCCATCAATTTGGTGCTGTTTGAAGATGCCATGATGCATGTTTGCAGGTAGCAGTCTTGTATTGCTTACATTCAGAAAAACCTTTTGGGTTGTGATGCCATGTGGGTTTGTAGATGGTTACCAGTATCATCTTCATCATCTTAAAGTTAGTATATTCCTCCAAAACACTGCTAACTACCTACAAGACAGTGTGACATTACAACCCAGACGACCATTATCAACATCTTCACTGCAATGAGAACCTTAAATCTCAGACTATTCTGAAAAGTTGTACTGTTTTCTTATATTTTCATCAGATAAGTATAATATAATGTACCACTTTTATTTCTGTTAAATTAGCATATATTAATTGTTTGTAACACTTATTTCTTGTAATTGTTCCATATTAATCAATTTCTCACATATTTTTGCTTTAAAATTTGAATTGTCCTCTTTATTTCATTATCATCCCATTTTCTTGTTAATTAAAACATGATAAGGTTATGTTTATTTCCAAGTACAGAAATCTTAAATTATTTTGATATTCACAGCTCCAGGCTTAGAAGTTTCTGACTGTTTTGTGATGTAGAATTAATCGCATCCTGGAGTCTCCTAGAGGAAGTGCACTGCTGGTTGGTGTGGGTGGATCTGGAAAGCAATCACTGGCGAGACTTGCTGCCTTCATATCCAGCCTTGAGGTATCACAGATCCAGCTGCGTAAAGGCTATGGAATTCCGGATTTGAAAGTAAGTCAAAGCTGCTAACCAACACATCAGTCTTTAATGAATAACAACTCATTTTAATCATTGTTCTTCATTGCAGAATGAACTGTCTGGCCTTTACATGAAAGCAGGGTTGAAGAATGTTGGCATTGTGTTCCTGATGACAGATGCACAAGTACCAAGTGAACACTTTCTGGTTCTTATTAATGATTTGCTGGCTTCTGGTGAAGTGCCTGACTTGTTTGCTGATGATGACATTGAAAATATTATTGCTGGTGTCCGAAATGAGGCAAGTACTTCTAGCAGGAAATGGTGTTGTACATCTTAAATATTTCCTTGCATTAAAATTTTTGTTTTCTTATTTTCCATGAATTTTAAATCCAGAATGATATTTGGTGATATGGAATTGATGAAGTAAACTGCAAAATGAAGGGTGTATTATAACTGAGTGTACTTCCTTGTCAGAGATGCTTTATCATGTCATATGTAGAATCATGGCTAAACAGTTACTGCTAAATGACTTTCTTGAGACTTTGACTCGTGTTAGTAACAGCCATGTCCATATAATTAACAGTGATAGACTTCTCAAGTTAATGATAATGGACAGACTTACTGCAAAAATGCACTGAGGGGGATCTTTGATTGATGATTGTTTCATAATGTGTCAAAAACAACTTTTGAAGAGACTGAGGCTGGAATGGGTCACCAAGTGGGGTGACTGCTTGACTGATGTCAATGATGATGAATGTTACTGTAGAAATGAATTTTATGTTGGGAGCTGAAATAAGGCTCCTAAAAGACATGATCTAGTGCATTTTTAAACTGTTAGAAAATCTTCCTATACAATTCTAATCGCTATACAACTGCATTTCTTTATTGTAGGTGAAAGGTGCTGGCATGCTAGACACACGAGAGAACTGCTGGAAATTCTTTATAGACCGTGTTCGTCGCCAGCTGAAAGTAGTACTGTGTTTTTCCCCTGTTGGATCCACCTTGAGAGTACGTGCTCGGAAATTTCCTGCCATTATTAACTGCACAGCTATAAACTGGTTCCATGAATGGCCTCAAGAAGCACTTATATCCGTCTCAAAGCGGTTTTTGGAAGAGTTGGATGTATTGCCCGTGAGTAAATCAGTTGTAGTTTTAGCTATTTACAGGATCTTTATAATACAGCAATATTATAAAGTGTCATAAATGCCACTAAACACCTACATAAGTTTTTACAGAATTAATGGTTAAGTAGTCTGTCTTTTATGTCTTTAGCCTATTCATTGCAAAAACATAACTAATACAACACCTACAATTTTATTTGTTTGTAGGAATGTTACCATGACTCAGTGGCACGTTTCATGGGCTTTGTTCACATGTCTGTCAACTCCACGTCCCGGGTTTACCTTCAGAATGAGCGACGCTACAACTACACCACACCTAAGTCATTTCTTGAACAAATCAGCCTCTATTCCAAATTGCTTCGACAGAAGAGCTCTGAACTCACGGGCAAGGTGGCTCGCTTGGTGAATGGACTAGATAAACTTCGCAGCACTGCAGAGCAGGTCAGACACAACCATGTTTCCTTAACCTATTTATTTATGGTATTTATATATCTTTCTACTCAGTACATGATATAGATTTATGTGAATACCTTTTTGAATATATATTCATACTCATATTATTAATTATGACAGTATAATGGAATTGCTTTTGTAAAGTAATGTATTCTTTTTATGTTGGAATTAATTTATTTTGTGTAAAATGTGCATTACACCTTTCAAATGTATAATTTAATAACCTGTCTACAGAAAATTAAAGGCAGTTGCTCTGGAGAATTTTAAATGGAAAGTGAACCTTTACAGGTTGATGAATTGAAAGCAAAACTTGCAATTCAAGAATTGGAGCTGAAAGAGAAGAATGACGCTGCAGATGCCCTTATTGAAATTGTACGAGTTGAAACAGAAAAAGTGTCTACAGAAAAATCATTAGGTAAGGTGCATTCTACATATACCTGAGGTACACCATTCATATCTCAAATTATACAGAGTACTGGAAAATAAGCCACATGTATTATTGGAGTTTTAAATCTAAAAGTTCACATCTGGTAAATACTTTTATAATACAGCTTAGTTAGTTCCAAGATAAAACACTTATCCTTTGTTGAGAGGTGATTGCGATCTTGTGATATATTTCTGTTGTATCTCAGTTTGTGTAAACAGTTGTTGGGATAATATGTTTTCAAAGAAATAACAATCTACATTGTCCGCAAAGCTCACAATATTTCACTCAGAAAATCCTTTGGGAAGAGACTGCTAGGGAAATCTAGGCATAGGTGGAAGGATAATATTATGTAGAGTGTCAGATTTTGGACTGATTTCATCTGGCTCAGAATAGAGACCTATAGTGGGCTCTTATGGGCATGGTAATAAACTTCAGGTTTCATAAAAGACACTGCATTTGTTGACCTACTGATGAACGTCAGCTTCTCAAGAATGTAAGATTCATATTTAAAATTAAGTTTATTATTTCATTACTTCTGTGTGCTGTGATGATATGTTTTGCTAAAAACCTTAAATGTATCAACTCCCCTCCCATTACATGAGAATACCAGTACTTTTTTCTGGGAAAAAGCACTGCAAACACCTGACATCAGTGGGCGTTTGCCTTCATTTTGATATTTGGTTGGTGTTGAAAGTTTGACTGCAGACAGATATATATGTACATGCAAATATAGATAGTTGTTTGTATTGTTAAACTTAACAGCGGATGATGAGGAATACAAAGTGGGGCTTATAGCTGAGGAGGTGAGCAAGAAACAAAAAGACTGTGAGGAAGATTTGACAAAGGCAGAACCTGCTCTCAGTGCTGCACAGGAGGCTCTGAACACCCTAAACAAGGTGACAAGATGTGAATGGTATAAATTAATCATTAATTATTTGTATTAATCCTTATACAAAAAAGTAACATAGTAGTTTAGGAATTCAAAATTTTCAGCAAAACTGATCAGATTGCATATTTCTTCAGGCCTTTCTTAAATGAAGTGCCCTTAACTTCGTGATTTTATTTTAAAAAACTGCTCTTCGAAAAGTATATAATTGACCAGAAGGGTAAAAGTACTTGTGAAAGGTCAATGAGTTAGACTTGTGCAATTGCTCATGAAAGTTTCATTATGATCATAGGTTGGGCTGAAGAGGTTAAATAAAGTTCATTTCATGTCATAAAACAAGCTCTCAGAACAAACATTGCACTCACAGCCTTTGTTATTGCTCTGGAACCAGCAGAACATCCCGTATTTAGTGCTGCAATATGGCACTTCCTGAAGTAGCCAGAGGAACATCCAAATGTCTTCATTCCAAGTACTTGTGGAGCTGGGAAAGTACATAAAATTGTATAAAATACATTTAATTCAGTTATTCTGACAGTACTGGTATTCAGTGAATTTGAATTACATGCCTCATAATTGATTATAGATCATTACCTTGTAGGTTATATTAATGTATGATACTGATGAAGAGGGTAGAAATTTAGCTTCCTTCCTGTATCTACAGGCTAACCTCACTGAACTGAAGTCATTTGGATCACCACCTGGTGCTGTAACAAATGTTACTGCTGCTGTGATGGTATTGCTAGCACCAAATGGAAAAATCCCCAAGGACCGTAGTTGGAAATCTGCAAAGGTAAGACTGCTGCCTCCTGCAATACAGATTAATTATGTCTCTCAGAATCTGGTTAAATTTTTGAGCTGTACACATTCTGTCTGCAATTTCCTTTTGGATTTCTCAAGTTTTATGACATTTTAACGCACAAATTACTAACATTTTAACTTTCTTGAAACTGTTATTAAATGCTATTTCTCAGTTGACATGGTTGCAGTTTTACATTAATGACTTATAAACTTTATTTTTCTAAACTTTGTGTTATTTTTATATTTAATTTTGCAGTCTTTCTTCTTTGGTGTCATACAACAACACTATTCAAAACCTGTATGTAACCAATAATAATATACTAAATTGAATGATTATTATTATTTCAAACTAGTATGCATTATTCTCCTGGTTTACAGATTGTGATGGCTAAGGTGGACTCATTCCTTGATTCACTGATCACATATGACAAAGAAAATATACATCCTGAAGTTATAAAGGCAATCCAACCATATCTGAAGGACTCAGAGTTTGATCCTGAGTTTGTTCGTACCAAATCAGGTGCTGCTGCAGGTGGGACATTTAAAAATAGTTTACATTACTCTCAATTCTTACAGAGTCAAAACTTTGTGAAATGGGGGAACACCTCACCCCACCTCTACATTTTCATGTTTTATTTAATAATGCTGTCAGAAGTTCAGACTGTAGGCTGCAATCCATAGTTAGAACATGTGGGTAGATTGACATGATTCTTTGTTGTGTGTTCATTTTGTTGTTGTTCTTACAAAGAATACAAAAAGATACATAGTGCCTTCATTTAAGAATACATTTCAACAATTCTGAGGAATGGCAAAGTCAAATGAAATCTGTCACGATCACGTGCCTCTAAACAAAATGGAATGTCCTGTAATTAGAAGTGTAATAATATATTTGTTGTCAGTGACTGTATATGTTGAATTTTTTCAGGCCTTTGTGCATGGGTAATAAATATAATCAAGTTTTATGAAGTTTACTGTGATGTAGAGCCTAAGCGCAAAGCTCTGACTCAAGCAAATGCAGAACTTGCTGCAGCACAAGAAAAGTTGAGTGTAATCAAACGAAAAGTTGCTGTAAGTGTCTTTTGCTTATTTTATGGCTTGTAATAATCATCCATTGCCATCTGGCTAGATTTTATTTTTCGGTCTCATTCTTTAGGTTTGATGACTGGAACATATTGATTAATGCAATATTTTAACAGTACTGCATAGACTGCAGAAATTATATACAGTTAAATGGAAAGGATAGAGGATTTCTGTAGCTAAAGGAAATTGCTTTATATGTTGCAGTCATTAGAGGAGCAACTGGCTAAGTTGACAGCTGACTTTGAACAAGCAACTGCAGAGAAGTTGCGCTGTCAACAGGAGGCAGATGCAACTAATGCAACAATCCAGTTAGCAAACCGGCTAGTTGGAGGCCTAGCCTCAGAGAATGTCCGATGGGCAGAATCTGTTGCTAAGTATGTGTAACTTTGTCTTAAATTATAAGAATTGACCCCTGCTATAAAGGTGGCTCTGCTCCTTCTAGTCCTTTATTACCAATATATTTCATCCGTGTCAATAGAAAATAAAACTCTTATCATTTTTTAGACAACCTCCATTTCCATTATCAGACCGTTGGTGAGTCGTACAAATTGGCTTACACACACACACACACACACAAACCGCATGTAGATGTAATGGACCCTAGTCTTCATTGGCTAGCTTTTGTCCCTCATCACATAAATCCCTGATAATGGAGGCAATATCTCTAAAATATCAGACTTTTATTCAGTAGTGATGTGGCTGATTGCCCAAGAAGAGTTTATTGTACTAATAAATAGTATTTGTTTGTATGATCTCTTAAGACAGTAGCTACCTGGTTCATCTTACTGCATTAGTATCAGAGAATGAAGAATGAATGTCTAGGACCCACTACACAAAGCACACGATATTGATTCTTCAGTGTGTCCTCAGTTTCAGGTTACAAGGTAGCATGTTACCAGGTGATGTTCTCTTGGTAACTGCTTTCATTTCTTATGTGGGCTGCTTCACCAAGCAGTATCGACTAGACTTGCTCAACAAGTTGTGGCTACCCAACCTTAAAAATCTAGAAGTAAGAACATAAACTGAACATATTACTTAGTGATATTTTGTTGGTTTAGATGCTCAGACAACTATCCCTGGACAATAAACATAATTCATGTACATATACTGGGAAAGTATTAACCATAACATTAGAGCAAACCATTACTGTTTTAATACTGTATATTGGCTTACCTAACCTATAATGAAATATTTCACTATGAGTGGAGTATTCGTTGTACATCATAATGAGCATTTCAACAAGAATAATGTACTTATTTTCTGTAATGGTGAGTTTTACAGTGGGATTGGACTTAAAATCTATTACTGATTGTTACATTTGGCATATGTGCTTTTGATTTCATTACATTATTAATAGTAGTTGGTTTAATAATTGTAAGGAATAAATGGAGGAAAAATTTGATAAACAATTATTTCAGCCACCAGTACCAATCACAGAGGGACTGGACCCACTGTCTCTGCTAACAGATGATGCTCAGATTGCTGTATGGAACAATGAAGGACTGCCAAGTGACAGAATGTCGACAGAGAATGCTACCATTCTCTCAAATTCTGATCGTTGGCCACTCATGATTGATCCACAGGTGAGGTACTGCTGTCTGTAAGGAAACTTAAACTGAGAACAGTATGAATTATAAAAGTAAATATATAATATATCAAATATAATACATATTATACAAATAAAATATCCAAAAGAATACTGAAATATAAAATGACAGTGATGTGTTTAAGCAAGCAATCCATATTGAGAAGAACTGTTATTTATTTACAGTTATTTTTTACAAGTGAGCAGACTGACAAAGAATTTTCCTTGATTTAACTTTACTAACATTACGAAGGGAAGCACAGAAATCACAAGGCTATCTTCATGCGTAATTTTAACTGTTCCTCAATAGTCATACTCTTTTATATCCAAACATGTAGTTCAGGCAATCCTATCAAATAATCTATGGTGTACAGAGAGAGAGAGATATTGTGTGCGCGCGCATGAGTCTAAAGGTTCATTAATGCTTATGGGCATTTGTGCCCATACAAAATGACATTTACAGATTTATTATATGGCACACACACATGACATTCATAATTTTAATTTCTACCAAAGTGATACCATACATTTAATCAGTTAGGTTATTTTATGTCATTACAGCTACAAGGAGTCAAGTGGATAAAACAAAAATACAGTGATGCTCTGAAAGTAATACGCTTGGGCCAGCGTGGTTACCTGGATGTTATAGAGCAGTCTATCACCACTGGTGCAACTGTTCTTCTGGAAAATATTGAGGAGAATGTTGATCCAGTGCTAGACCCATTACTTGGTCGTAATCTTATCAAGAAGGGCAAGTACGTATATAAGTATCAGAACTATTTCAAATTGTGAAACTCTAATGCAGCAAAGTCTAGAAATATGGCAATACTAATTGTAATATATTGTTGTCAGAATTCTTTAGAATTGATTTATACTCAAGTTTTTCATAAAGCTGCCATACTTTATTGTCCCAAAAATTTACTGTATTATATGGAATTATTTACTTGTACTTGTAATTTATTTACAGAGCCATTAAGATAGGAGACAAGGAAGTGGAGTACAATTCAAACTTTCAATTAATTCTGCAAACAAAGCTGGCAAATCCACATTATAAACCAGAAATGCAAGCTCAGAGCACACTTATAAATTTTACTGTAACTCGAGATGGGTTAGAGGATCAACTTTTGGCCGAAGTGGTGAAGGCAGAGCGACCAGATTTGGAAGAACTCAAGGTATTCATGTACTGAACATATTTTTAGAAAGATTTCTTCATTCAGTTGTTTAATTAATCACATTTGTCTGATGATGCAGTTGATACTTATGGATGATATAACTTAAATGCATTTCAATTTTGTTACAGATTTATTTATTGATAAAGTTGATGGATGAATGATTATTCATACTTCGGTAATGAAAAAATACATACAGACAAAATGGAGAAAATCACATAATTATGTGCTTAAAATTTTTTTGCTTACTGCCTAATACTGTTAGAGCAATTAATTTCAGTATAATGAGATGAGAGGGATATGTAGCATGCATGGGGAAAGAATAAATGTCTATTATTTAAAGAGCTGTTTGACATGGAGTGCATTAAAGGTCCTTATATGTTGGGGAGTCAAAGCATCTAGAATTCTTTCCTTATAAATTTTTATTTAACCACAGGCAGAACTGACTAAGCAGCAGAATGACTTTAAGATCATGCTTAAGACGCTGGAAGATGATCTATTGTCCAGACTGTCCTCTGCAGGAGGAAACATCTTAGGAGACACAGCACTGGTGGAGAACTTGGAAACTACCAAACGTACAGCAGCAGAAATTGAACAGAAAGTAGCAGAGGCAAAGATTACATCAGCCAAAATTGACCAGGCTCGAGAATTATACAGGCCAGCTGCTGCACGTGCATCACTGCTTTACTTTATTCTTAATGATCTTAATGCCATCAACCCCATCTACCAATTCTCCCTCAAGGTGCTGTTTTCACATGCAAAACATAATTTTATGAAAATATATTAGTAGGTAGGCCCTTAGCTGTTTTAGAAAATAAGGTTTTTAAAGAATCATTATCAGAGAACTTATTGTAGTATGAAGAAAGGGAAGTGCAAGTGTAAGGGATAGAAAACCCTTTCTTCCTGAATGCTAATCTCACCATAACATGGTGTGCCTCATTTTTAGATTGAAGCCCTCAGAGACTGAGTTATGATAGTCTAACCAGAGCATCTTATGTGGAAAAAATGCCACCACTAAATTAAGTTGCAAGGTTTTTTATTTAGTGTTTTTAAGTTTTGTTTTAATTTACGTGTTGGTTGACAGTTATGAATAACCAGCTACTTGAGTAAATTTTAAACCCATTAAAACAATCAACTTCTGTGGTTTCTTTCCTTATATGATAAAAACAGGTGTACAGAAATTATAGTTTTTCTCTTTTTCTTCTTTTATTTATTAGGTTACAGGTCCGACATTTTTGTATTCGCTTAGTTTTATTTATTTAACTCAATAAAGAATTTTTTTACAGTCATACATACTCTTCTGAAAATACCATTTTGTTATAGTAAAACAAATAGACTCGTCATTTCACCTTTCTTTATTTTAACATGTAATAGCCTTTTGTGTAAAATGTATTTATCTTATATTGACTATAAATTAGCCACAATTATATTTTTTTTCTTAATTTTTCATGAACATTTTCCCTCCTGATAATTTATACTTTGTGTATATATGTGCAAATTATCAGTGTTTCTGTGATATTGCACTTATTGCTGTGTACTGTGAGATATGGATAATTTTAAGTGCTACAAAGTTTGAATGCATTTCAGGCCTTCAGTGTGGTTTTCCAAAAGGCAATTGAAAAAGCAGTGCCTGCTGCAGAAGTATCAGCAAGAGTTGTTAACCTTATTGACTGCATCACATACTCTGTTTTTATGTACACCTCACGGGGACTATTTGAAAGAGATAAACTTATCTTTTCATCACAGATGGCCTTCCAGGCAAGTCTTTATATCCTTAAAAGAATAACATAGTAGTTAATAATTTGTATTTTGTTTAGTTGAATTTTCCTGTTATCATTCAGACTGTATTGCTTTCCTTTTATTCACCAGAAAGCAATGTGAAGTTCATAGTGCATTATCAATATCTCCGCACCATCAAGGGATTGAGCGCATAGAGAAGAACTAGTTTTATGTCAGTGTTTTGATATTGGCATTTTCTATGATATTGTCAATTTCTGTAACAATTTTTTTCCCAATATACTTATACTTCATGTTTTACCTTCAACATGACATTTTTGACACTTATGGATCACACACACATTTTGGTAATTTCATTATGTTTAGTGTGATCTATTATCAGAACTAATACTTTTCACAGATCTTGCTCATGAATGAAGAGATTGTGGCATCTGAACTGGATTTCCTTTTGAGGTTTCCACTTCAGCCACATGTTGTCAGTCCTGTTGACTTTTTATCTAATGGCAGTTGGGGTGGTATTCGCAGTCTATCTGCAAAGGATGAATTCAGGTACAGTTCCCAAGCAATACATATGCTTTGTTTATATTTTTGTAACCAATTTGGCTATGCTGCATAGTGGAAGAGTTAGCACTCCTGCTTCAAACAATTTTGATATGAATTGGTGTGTCCCATTCTGTATTATATTCTTAACTATGCTAAAAGTATCTTAATATGTAGGCTTCTGTTATATACAATGAAGACTGATGAGATTTTAGGTTTTCACAGCAATGGAAATGTGGACAAAATCTTCTGTGTTTCATGCCGCATACAAAACTACACATCATAACCCGAAGACTTTGATGTTTTCAGAAATCTGGATAGGGATATTGAGACTTCACCTAAGCGATGGAAAAAGCTTGTTGAGTCAGATTGTCCAGAAAGAGAAAAATTTCCTCAGGAGTGGAAAAACAAGACTTCACTCCAAAGATTGTGCATGATGCGTGCACTGCGACCTGACAGAATGAATTATGCAATTGCGTAAGTTTTGAACAATGACTAATTGAGGAATCTCCTTGCTAAAGGTAAACCGAGGTTATATGTCATAGGTTAGGCTGAAGTTTTCACAACTACGGTTTGATTCAAATAAGGAGGTTTTGGATTCTATTTACATATTTATGATCAGAATTGTTCTGGGAGAAAACCAGTCCGCTAATAAAGGAAAGTTTATTTCTCAAGAAGCGTAGAGTCATACAGAGGACGTACACGTGATATACTTTCGATGGCGATGCCTTGACGTAAACTTGCCTAACCTAACCTATCCTAATCCAACTGAACCAAACCTGTCTAAACTTGTAAAAACATGTTGATAACTGTCGATTCTGACGCGTGACTGGCATGTGACTTGCTTGTAAGATACGGCCACGTAACGACCATGAACGAAGCTGCACCGTTAACCTAATCAAACATAACCTAATTCAACGTATTGCACAACTTTTATCTCCTGCACACATAGGATTTGTAACACAATCTTGACACGAATTTTTGAATATTTTCATTAAATTACTCCGCCACCCATAGATGTGCTAGAGCACACATTTTTGTTTATAATGTAAAACTTAAGTTTAGTGAACATGTGGTTGAACTATCAGGTGAATAACCAGAAGGCAGACAGTGTGTAACTAGAGTTAAGGAAGAACTTTATGGGATAGGTTACAGGTATGTCTGGACACACTGATGAAGGAATATAAGTGGAATATGTAGAATGATAATTTGGCAATTTAATTATATGGAGAGACAGAACAGATGTTCCAGCATATTGGCAGTGCCTTCATTTTATATTACTCTAGTAGTAAAGCTGTAGTAGGGCCTAGGAATAAAATAAAAAGTTATTTTATGGTTAGCAAATTGATGTGCTGTGCATAAGGAGGCAGGATGTGCCTTTGGCCTCTGTGATGAGTCAAAGGTACAGAGTTTGGATGTGGAGAATGGATAAGCTATTATTAAGGAATAGTTTGTAAGAAAATTATGAACTGTAGTAACCATGTCCTTTTCCTAAATATGTGTGAGTATTTGTTCAGAGTAAGAGTAAGTTGGGAAAGACATGTATATGACATTGACCTTATCCTACCAATAATAGCTGTGTAAATAAAATAAGGAAGTAGAATGGAACACATATTCATGGTCTTTTGTCAAGTGTACTTTCTATAAAGTGCTAGGTATGTGCAGTGGGGAGATTATGTATATTAATCACTGCTCATTATTCTTAAAAATCTTAGAATGCTCATATACTTTTTATAATTCCAACTTAAATACATGGGTCATTTTGCATTCCTTGTAATTTGAATTTCAGAGCATTCATAGAAGAAAAACTTGGAGCCAAATATGTTGAAGGCAGGACAGTAGAGTTTTCTAAGTCATTTGAGGAAGCAAGCCCATCTACACCCATCTTCTTTATACTATCTCCTGGTGTGAATCCTCTTAAGGTAAGTACCTGTGCTTATGTTAAAAATTTAACAGAGACTTGAAGCAGAGGAGGCAAGGGGACACTAACATAGAGGAAGAATCAAACATTTTAGATACAATAGTGAAATTTTACAGCTAGGAGACAGACAAAGTCTTAAAGAGTTACTAAATTATCTCACCTACCAGATTTTCATGAATTTTCTTATACTCATGTGGACATTTAAAGAACAATGGTTCTACTCATTTTAAGCAATGTCTTAACTTTTGTTGCTACAGTTCAGAATATAAATACTTTATCTTGTACATTTACCTCAAGTTTGAAAGTGCCTTGGTTCTTTACAGTAATTCTATGTGACCACTTCCTCATACTGTTTATGGATGTGTTGAAATCTTTTAAAGTGAAATCTGTAACAAAAATTTCCATATAACAAAGAGTGCCCTAGATCCCAATAACATAGACTACATTACATTTATTATTAAGCTTTGTATTTAGAACCCCTATAAAAACTCACAAGCTAATAGCAAGAGTGGAATGATCTACTCTATATTTTCCACAAGCTCTCCTCACTATTTTGCATACCTCACTGATCTTGTATTGCAGATACAAATCTGTTTCACTTTATCATATTGCATATTGTCAGAAATTATTTTGTCTTCTATGTCATTAAATGTTCATTATACCAAAGAATGTTTCAGATAAAAGTAGTAAATCTTATTGAGACCTGTGTGTTATATTTTGCATCATTTGTATATGATATACTTTTGAGAAAATCAATTAATTTATATTTGGACATCATGTAAAATATGAGGTTACTGGGATGTTATGAACCAAAATTAAACTTATCTGATAAATTTTAGTATAAACCTACAAACACGAATATGATTGAAGTGCATTCAGTAGTTTTAGTAATATAAAATCCATACATGTGTAAGCTTCCCATATATTCTCATTTCATGCATTTTGTACATATAACAGATTTAAATTACTGCTGTTTGATATAGGTATTATAATTCATGCACTACTATGAGTTTTTAAAGATTCCAACTAAGTTATTTAGTTCTGTGTTTATGAATGGGAACTATAATGTTTCTGCTCTAGGATGTTGAAGAATTAGGCAAAAAGCTGGACTTCACTTTGCATAATGGTAATTTCCACAATGTATCGCTAGGACAAGGACAGGAAGTGGTGGCAGAGCAAGCTATGGATACTGCAGCTGGCAAGGGACATTGGGTAGTACTACAGGTAACTTTCAACATTATGTATGGCTGAGGAAATAAAACTGAGTACATACATTGTTATTCAATTATATAACCAGTATGGATGTGTAAGTTGCAGTAAGGCAGACTTGTCATTTTCTAACCTAAATGTTTGATAATAATAAAACAAAACTTTTTTATTTGGCCATTCTTAACCTTAATAATACTACAATCAGAGTACAAATTTTGTTGTTTTAAGTTGTTTTATAATTGTATCTAGGATATTGTCAGATAATAGGGTCCATATGCTATGTATCAATTATTATTAATGATTTAACATCACACAGTCACACATGTTTATATAAAGCCTGTAGCAGAAGGATGGGCTGTTTTCATGTGAAAAATTTTCACATTTAATAGAACATTCATTTAGTCAAGAAATGGTTGCCTACACTGGAGAAAAAGTTGGAACATTACAGTCAGGGTTCCCATCCAGACTACCGTGTGTTTATGAGTGCTGAGCCCGCAGCCACTCCTGCAGCACATATAATTCCACAGGTGTGTACTATGTTCTTAAGCTTGTTGGTGTCAGTGTAAGTTATGGCATTGCAGAATAACACAAATGACGATAGTAATTAAGGGAAGACAGAATTTTAAAAGAAAAACAATTCTTCCATAATTAATTTGGCCGTATATTTTCTGAATTTATTCCTAAAGAGCCTTACTGATGTATCTCATTTTCAGGGTATCTTAGAATCATCTATTAAGATAACCAATGAGCCACCAACAGGTATGCAGGCAAATCTTCACAAAGCACTGGATAACTTCAATCAGGAAACCCTAGAAATGTGCAGCAAGGAGGCTGAGTTCAAAGCTATACTCTTTTCTCTGTGTTACTTCCATGCAGTTGTGGCAGAACGTAGAAAATTTGGACCTCAGGGATGGAATAAGATATATCCATTTAATGTAGGTTAGTTACTTTGTTGTTCTCTACTGATGAAGGAATGTGCTGAAGCACTATACCAGGGGGCATGGAGATAAAACTTCACACATCCTTAACTTTGTCACTGATGGAGATATAGTGAGCTTCACTCTTCAGCTGATTTAACTTCAGTGCCTTCACAAAAAGATGACAAGAGTGCTGGTAGCATATTTTATGATTTTCATGTTATCATGTGATATGAAGCAGCAGCGTGTATTTTGTTCATACTATAATCTTTCTCAATAACAAGTGTGTCAACACAATATGAATGGAACTTCTAATGCTATTGTAGCCAGTATGTTGAGCCCTTGGCATTTATTGTTTTACTAATTGTGTTTAATAGTTCAACATATGTGAAGTTCATGGAGTTAAGTGAACTTGCAACCATATTTATAAACTTTCATCATGTCTTATTTGTGGTGAATGGAACTTGTAATGAAAATGTAAAGATTTCGGGCATGAAGCTGGGGGGGGGGATAGTGTAATGAAAGATAATATTTATCAATTTTTTACATGAAACAGGTGATCTGAATATCAGTGTCAGTGTTCTGTACAACTACTTGGAAGCCAACTCCAAGGTTCCATGGGAAGACTTGAGATATTTATTTGGCGAAATTATGTATGGTGGCCACATCACTGATGACTGGGACCGAAGATTGTGCATCTCATACCTGGAGGAACTCATGCAATCTGAACTGGTAACTTTATACTAGATCATTACACAAAATGCAAATACATAATGTTGTCTTGAACTTTGTTCATCAACAGTTTTGGGGGCTTTTACATAGAGGTACGATGAAAGGAGAAGATTACTGGAACTGAATCTCTCAAAGTATTTGGTGAAAATATGGACATACTCTAAATAATTTTATTTTGTTTTTTATAATGTAATAAGAAATACTTGAAACATCAAGATTAGAGCACTCACCAAGTGCTCGGTTGATCAATATTAATTTTATTCATGTGTAAATTTTCTACTACACCACTTTATACACTCACAGGTGGATGGAGAACTAATGTTGGCTCCTAGTTTCCCAGCGCCACCAAATACTGATTATATTGGATACCATACATATATAGGTATGTGTACTGGTTATGTTCATAATTTATATTACAAATAAAGCATTGCACAACAGCTACATCATGAAATTTAGTTTCCCTATCATTATAATCTTGTTAAATATTGAACACTCATGGATGGCTGCAAAACTTAATACATAATTGTTCAGAAATATGTGATGCTTTATTTTTGGAAAAGATTTAAATGCTTTACTTCAGTTTCCATTAAAATTTCTCTCCAATGTAGGTCAGGAACTAAAAGGAATAATGAGACTCAGTTAGTGATTAATAATAAAGAATGTTATTACAAAATTGTCATTCCCTTCTCAGATGAGATGATGCCTCCAGAGTCACCATATTTGTATGGTTTACATCCGAATGCAGAGATTGGTTTTCTCACCACAACCTCTGAGAACTTGTTCCGGACAGTGTTTGAGATGCAGCCACGTGATGCCGGAGCTTCGGGTGGAGCCACAGTTACTCCAGAAGAGAAGGTTTCTCTTATAATTATACTTATGATAATACCTAACATAGATTTTGAGTTGAAATGTTTATTGTGGATTACATTCATATAGAAAAGTGTGATTTTGAAAGAATGTTCTATTTATTCTAGGTAAAACAGATTGTTGATGAAATCATTGAGAAGTTGCCTGATGATTTTAACATGGTGGAGATAATGAACAAGGTAGAGGAGCGCACACCATATGTCATTGTGGCTTTTCAAGAGTGTGAGCGCATGAATTATTTGACGGGAGAGATGAAACGCTCACTGAAGGAACTGGACCTTGGACTCAAAGTACGTTGTGTGGTAATATCTGCACATTGGACCTTTTTTCTACTTTCTCAGAAATTGTTACATTTTCTTTTGTTTTCTGTTTCAATATTAACTTAGTCTATATACTAATTCATTCCATATTTAGTATGACAGTTTCAGACCCAGTCTGATATAATGTAAAATTTGTTATATGATATATGATTCCTACCTCTGCAGATGTAAAACACGCAAGTTGAATGTAATTGTGTAAATGTCTCAATGTGTTATCTATAATGTTCATAACATTTATTTTCTTCAGGGAACTAAAATAGTTTTCCTCATCAGTCGTAGAAGAATTTTCTATTATTCATGTGCTCAATGAATTGAAGATTGAATCTCTTCCAGCACCTATGTACGACTAAGCGTTGTACTATTCTGTCTTTGTCAGGGGGAATTAACAATTACTGGTGATATGGAGGAACTCCAGAATGCACTGTTTTTAGACCAAGTGCCTCACATCTGGACTCACCGAGCATACCCATCACTCCAGGGTCTCACAGCCTGGTTTGCTGACCTCCTACTGAGGCTGAGAGAACTGGAGACCTGGTCTACAGATTTTGTGGTTAGTTATTGGTTCTCATTTTGATACAATCAATAATTAAGATTAAAAATATAATAATATCCAGCACTGACTCTACCATACACTTATACTTTCATGTCGTATATTGTACTGCTGATTTGTGACACTTTATGAAAGGATGATAAGTGCTGAAAGGTGATCACCTAAATTCATGGGATGAGATTTCTGGCAAAATATTACATAGACATTGCTCATATTAACACTGTGCTTTCCAAGCTAAAATCGATCATGAAAGGTATGTGAAGTTCCATTTAAGAAGCTCGTAGAAAATATTTTCAAGATTTTAATCAATTTTAATTCTTGCATAATTTGTTTCTTTGTTTATGTGTGTGTTTTTGCCATAGTATGAAAATGCCTTTTCTTATATTTATGTATGAAGATCTCTTTAAGGTAAAAATATGCTCCTTAGTACTTTGTTCTTAAACATTCTAGATCTGTGTTTTTTTTCCTTAGAATGAGAGGTTAAATTTCATACCTCTACAATACAGCAGATAAAACTGTAGTTTTTACATGTTCTAATATTTATGCTTTTAGATAAAAGACTGGAAGACAAATGATTCTTGTATGAATGGTGGCAAGTATTCTTAAAATGTAATTTGCTCTTAATTTCTTTTTTGAATGTAATTTTGATTCATTACTGTTGTTTCAAAACATCTAAACCTTGCTATTTTATTTCAGCTACCATCATCTGTATGGTTAGCAGGTTTCTTCAACCCTCAGTCCTTCCTTACTGCTATTATGCAGTCCACAGCTCGCAAAAATGAGCTTCCTCTGGACAAAATGTGCCTCCAGTGTGATGTAACCAAGAAACAGAAAGAAGACTTCTCGTAAGTTGAATGAGTAAATGTCTTGACCAATGCAATTTCATGTGCAAAGCTGACGATTCTTTAAAAACCAGTGGTTTAATACAGGTACCTCCAGAATGCATGTCAGATCTATTATTATGAAACTTGTGTTTGTAAAATATATGATTTGTGTATACACAGTGAATATAAAATAGAGAATAAAGATTGGCTCTTTTGAGGCAGCATCATGTTTATCCTCTGTTCCAGATCAGCGCCACGTGAAGGTGCATATGTTCATGGTCTTTTTATGGAAGGAGCTAAGTGGGACATTCAACAAGGCATCATTACAGAATCCAGACTGAAGGAACTCTTCCCTACTATGCCTGTTGTCAACATCAGGGTAAGTGACAATTTCAATAATGCTTTGTTCATGCAGAGAATATTCTGTGTGGAGGAATTTTATTGCATACTTGCTCATAAATGTTTGTGCCAGAAAATTTCCTAGTCGGTGTGTTGGTGGTGTTATATCATATATAAATTCTGATGTGATGTGATGTGTCTGGGACTTTAGTAAGGCTTATTCTAACAGTGATACATGTAGAAATAAATTCACAAACTTGTTCTGTGATACGTAGTTGAATAGTATTGATTTGAAATTTATGAATGTGAAAGCATGAGGAAGTAAATATGAGGTTTTACATAAGTGGGAAAAATGGTGTATGAGGTGTACCAGTATTTAAACTTAGAGTCTCAGCAAGCAGATACAGCAATGTGTAATACTGGTAGCAATGTTGTGAGACTACTATGATACATTCTATCAAATGTGCAAAAAGATACATGACTATGAGAGCACAGAAGTTGAAAATGCTTTGTCCTCATATTTTCGATGCTGCAGCTGTGTGCGTAAGGCCATGTTCAAAATTATGATTCACCTATGCCCTACCAAACTCGTAAAGTAACCTGAGATTCATTGCTCTATTGACTGATTCACCCCACTATAAACTCCATAATATGTGGTGAACTCTTTTTCTTTTCTCCATATGTATTGCAGGCCATCACACAAGATAAGCAGGATATACGCAACATGTATGAATGTCCAGTATACAAAACTCGAACAAGGGGTCCCACTTATGTGTGGACATTCAATCTCAAATCCAAGGATAAGCCTGCCAAGTGGACATTGGCTGGAGTGGCTTTGCTCCTACAGATTTAAGTGAAAATATGACTCAGAAGTGTATTTACCTGTGTCCATTGCAAATTTGAGGAAATGAAGTCCATTTAATCATTACCTGAAGTTATTTCCTTATTACCAATTTTAGTAAGCAAATTTAATCACAACTGTAGCAGGGCTTTGCCATAATAGAATTCCAAACCTGTAGATCCAATTTCAAGTTTGAAAATTTGGCAGCTGACTTTCTTATTTTAGAGAATATATTCTATTGCAGCCCCTTCTATTTTATCTGATACTGTACTTCACAGAGCATGTTGCTGCAGTGTCCTAGTGTTGAAGGATGATTATGTTAAAGCAAATGAAATTTAAAGAAATAGAATTAATATTTATGGAGTTTTACTCTTCACATTTATCTGTCAGACACACCATACAATGCTTAGAGACTGGATAGCAAATGATTACATGTATGTAATTTTAACATGTTTAAATTCTGTTGTTCAGAATATTTATGAATTACAGCATTTACTAGAGTTAATAGGATTTAAACATGCACCTTTGTGCTCAATATAAATACAATCTCTTTATGCATTAAGCTATATATAGTTGCCCAACATTGGTAGATACAGAACAGTTTATGCTTTATACAGTGTATTGTTTTGTGTACAGAAATTAACACCTTATTTAAACAGAAAGTTGTTCAGATCCCTTGGGAGTCTATATATGTTATATATTTCTAATTATACATATATATTACTTCTGAAATGGAAGTTATAATTCCTTTCTTGTGGTTTGAAGGATTATAACTATTTATTATGCTTAACTGTATCAGACGGCATGATCACTGATACTTCTTAGCCTGTTGAAAAATTATGGTAAAGCAACTTTTGAGCCAAAGGTAAAATTGTTATTAATTTTGTAACACAAGCTTTCATCATTGTTGTGTACTACTACTGTCATGCTTTGCCATCCCTAATGCAGTAGAATATGGTTATCACTAAGAGGAAAGTATTATTCTTAGATTTAATTTTATTCTGTTTGGTGGTATTAAGATGCAATGTGTGTGTGTGAGAGAGAAAATAATTTTGGTGTGTGAGGACAAGATTACATTCTGAAATTTGTATAGATGTCTCTATTTTCACTGAAAATGACAGAGAATGTTCTGCATCTGCAAATCTTTGGTACAGATAAGGTTAAGAAGAATGTTATAAAAATTCTTGTTTATACTGAGGCTGTAGAAAGAAGTACCATGAGTGGTGGAGATGGCATTGTTCAGAGCTTTTCTCTCTCTGCCTACTGCTGTATTCTCTTAGTATTCTCTGGCCGGTGTCAGCAACCCCAAGGTGTGTGTTGTGACCGCCAATAGTCTTGTAAGCGGAATGTCTAGACAATCGGAGGAGAATGTAGGGAAGTATACTGGATGGTAAGCATAACAGATGTGAGGGGATGTTAGGAATTCTTTCTGTGGTCTCAATATAGATATGTTCTGTTACATTGCAACAGCTGTTAAACAGTTATGTTGTTATAATATTTTGCATGCAGAGTTTGGCCCAAAAATAAGTATACAGCTCATAGTTTTAACAGTATTTTAACATGACATGCAAAATTTATTCCTGTAGCTGTTCAAATTTAAATCTCTTCCTGCTCACATGGTCATAGAGCCTCTTTGCGACATGTCTGAAGATGTTTTGACACAAATGTTTCTTTCCGCTGTGTTCTCTGAATGTATCTGTAATGATGCCCTTAAATTTCATCAATGTTTCATATTTTCCTGCTGTATGCTTTGTCGTTGAGTACTCCCTAAAGAAACAGTCATGGGTTTGTAGTCTGGTGACAAACTATTCATGTCTTTGGGAAATTTTCATGCATACTGTTACGTACTGCTTGAATGAAATATGACAGTTCCCCATTTTGTTGCACGTAAGGCTGAGAAAAATCTGACTGTAGACTCTACAGAGGACAGTTCTGTGGATTAAATATATTATGCAACTTTATAATAATATCTACATTTGGCGAAGTCTGTATGTATGTTATATGGTTGGATAATGTTGCATTTATTGAAATGATGGTTACTGAACTAAATGTGTTTAATTAATTTATAGTAATTATTCAGTCATGTAGATTTATTTCTTGTTGACAGAAAATATTTCCTAATTCCAGTATGAGAGATATTTGGTGTTAATTCTTTAAACTCTGTCTAACTTATCTTGATTACCTTGACCTTCCCTAATTTTTATTTTGCCAAATTCACATTTTTATGCGCTGTTTCGGGTTGCTTTCCTTTTTATAAGGAAAGATAGGCCTGTGGCATCATCGTGTCCACATACCTGTTGTTGTAACATAATTTAAGGTGCTATGTCAGCATGCGCATCAACAGACTAAGGAATGACATGAACAGAATTGGCGGCATTCACAGAAATTAAAGTCTGTTACCTCTCGAATACAGCATGTGAGTAGCACTCTTAATGAAGAGGTGTTTATGCTGCCGGTAATCATTTTACCACAAACCCTGACTGGCGTTAGACTAATTCTCGTTTTATTTAACGACACTCTTTTAACTGTAGTGTCTATATTGCATTGAAAATATGGGGCTATGACAATAACAGTAAGAAGGCAAATATTTTGACAGATAGTCATGGATTATTTGGAGAGGAAGAGTACGAGAACTTGCAGACAGGGCAGGCGGTAAATATTTCTGAATTCGAATTGGATAACTTGTAAATACAAGCCTAACGCTTACAGCTACATCAGACTTGCTCTTTTTCGCGGGTTTAGAACATGGTTTCTGTCAGTGGAACGGTCATATTAAACGAGGATGATAAAGGTTTAAGGCGAATTTAACACAGCTGCGTGACATCATTATACCCAAAAGGCCTTCGACTGACATGCAATCCCCAGAAGGACTATCCTTTCATTAGCGGTGTACCAGTACAGTCGAAGGCACAGTGTAAGAACATATGTTTTAATTGTATCAGCAACTTTGTGAGACTAATGTAAAGCCGACAGGAACCAGTTTCTTTTGTTGTTAAAACAGTAGAAATGGCGTGCCTTCTATTCCTATGTCTTTGGGCTCTTGTGCTGTAATTTTGGTATTTCTATTTATTTATTAGTAGTTGTTGAATGACGCTGTGAGTGGGCAGGAGACCACAGTCGACAGATACATTGCACGGTAACAAGTAATGAGGTATTTATTATGATTTCCCTCAGTTCCTCCACCAAACGTCACGGTGTCACTTTCATAAGGCCTGCCACCGAGCATCGTAGTAGAATGGCTTTATTCGGTGCATACGCGGGTGGTTTCTTTCGCCTTTAAAATATAATTTATCATTTGATGCTACACATGTAATGCAGATTATAAATCGTCGTTAAATAATCTGTATAGGCTTAGCAATGGTATTTGCGTAGACAAAGAAATAATACAGATGCCTGTTGTAGCTGTACATACACAAGGCACTCGGCTCTAATAAGTGAGACCCAAGAATGTTTTGCTTAAGACGAAGACTGTACTGGGCCGCTGGGCGGTGTTTTGACGAGACCTGTAAAAGCAGCAGAATATTGTATTTAATAATTAGTGCCCCACTGACCACGCCTCTAGGTTACCGCGTGTTAAAGGACTGGCTTCTCGGCAGTGTGGAAACTCACTGAGCATCATGAGCAACCAGCAGCGTGTTCCAGGTATGTATCCATACACTTCACTCAAAGGACAGGCTTCCAATCTTCTATGAAGTTACCCTCTTAAACTCATCAAAATCTACCCCCCCCCCTCGCCATCCGATGCCGCAAAATTACGTACTCAACATTTTCTAATAAGCAATTCAAAATTTCCGTCGTTTCTGCTTGCAAACTGTCACTAATTATCGCCCTAACGTCTTCAATCGAACTTTATCCTTACTAGAAGAAGTAGTGGGCATTGCCTGGGAACCTTCTACTTATAAGA